CTTTTTAATACACAACGTATAAGAGTATTTCGTTTGTTATTCTTTCATGAAAATAATAAAACAACGGAGCATCGTTCCCTTTGTTCTACTGGCATGGTAACATTTGGGACAGCGAAACGAAGTCAGGAACAAAAGCCGATGGCCGATAATTCTAAGAATTTACCTATATCTATGAATTTCTTTCCACCAATCACGTGTCAAGGCTTTGAAAATATATGACAGGTTACCAGTTAAGTAAGTATCAAGTTACGTATTGAATACTATTATGCCGTAATGTGATGTTGATAGAAAATGTCTAATTTTTTTAGAGATATATATGGCTTACTTGGTGTTTAGTAGTCAGCACCGGTCATAGACCCCTGTAACATCGTAGCACTAGAGTGCGTTGCCGATCTTTTGGTTGCGAGAGACTAGCCTTTAAACTACCACATGCACCCAATGAATCACAGCCCAAGCGTGAGCCCCTTTGGCATTCTGTGAGGCCATGGTGTCATTATTAACTAAGTAAAGCATTAGTCGATGTTACAATACTGCAGTTGGTAAAATATCTGGGCTGACTGCTGCACAGCTTTCTTCGAGTTCGATTATAGTAATTTTATGTATGGTCCTTAAATGTCTTGGTGGCCCTGAGGTTCAGGAGGCCCTCTTCTCATACGTAATGGTTCGAAACCTACCAACGGCAAGTACCAATGTGACATTTTATGAGTCATATGACGAAGATTATCAAAACACCACTGACAAACGATCGTGAGGAAACCTGGGCTTATATTTTTTAATTATACTTGCATTGAGCAAGCGTGGTGATTAATACTTAAACCTTCTTCGTTTGAGAAGAGGCATTTGATCAGTAGTGGCCAATTATAGGCTGTTGATCATGATGATCCTTAAATTACTTGTTTGATGTACATGTTAGAATATGTGTCTCTAAACAACATCCACAAGTCCATGACACAGGAGAAAATGAACCCTCACTGTGCAGCACAATCATACTGCGTCAACCGTAACGCGATAAAGAATAAAATAAGTATAGAAGAAACGTTGATTGGAAGTATGTCTTTGTTTGTTTTAACGTCAGATGAGACGGTGCTGTGTGTACGTAATATTCATAAAGCAACTTTGTCTAGCGAAATATAAAGAAATATAAAGTAGTTTAAATTTTTTGCCTGTTCTCATTACAATATACGAATTTCTTTGTAATTTTCTAGTGTAGGTACTTGTTTAATTACATCTTCATAACATAACATAACATCACGCCTTTTATTCCCGAAGGGGTAGGCAGAGGTGCACATTCTGCCACTGTACAATGTAACACCCACTTTTCACTATTTATGTTATGAGTCCCATGTAATAGGGGGTGAGCCTATTGCCATATACCAGGCACATTTCCAGACTCCGTGCTACTACTGAGATTTTTAAAAACCCAGTAATATCAAAGTATTACTCGGTAAACCCGACCCGGGAATCGGACCCGGGATTCGAACCCGAGACCCCTTATCCTTGAACAGTCGCACTTACGACCACTTGGCCAACTAGGCAGTCAATTACATCTTCCTAGAAACTAAATTGTGATAATTATGTGAAGTACGTCTTTACAGTGGTAAAGCAAACTATATTACACAATTTCGCTTCTAATTCACGTAAAAGAATAGAGTCAGTACTTTTCCATATGTTTTGTGTTTCATTATAATGAGTGAAGGCGATCCGAATTCCAAGCACTGGGCAGAAATTTGGACATAATGCGTTCATAGCATTGTTTCTTACAAGATGAATAAGGCATGTCGTAATTAAACTCCTAACTTATAGAGATGTTTGTCGCATAGGCCTACCAACCACATTGACATTAAAGAAATCTCAAAATATTCTTAGAATGTTTCAAATGTCGGCGCATTAGTATTCGTGTCGGATTTAAGCTAACGACCGCCGAGTTCTCTACTATCCCTAACGTATTCCGTTTTTGTAAAAACTTATTTCGTACGAAAAAAAAAGAAATATTTCCGTAAGTACGAGTCGATTAAATCAGTTGATTGCTGACAAAAATGTTTTCATATCACCCACCACACCATGTATTTGGAGACTGGATGCTACGCACATTCAAACATTCCAGCGGTTGTCGTTCCAATGAAACTTAGATCTCCCCGGAACGAGATCCCACTATATAGTCCCAGATACGTCCCAACTTTTTATTACTATTATCAAAGCTGACGTGCTATGTTTTAAGAAAACTAACCGAACTAGGTCAGCATGCATCGCAAAAAACTGCCCGCATTTGTGTCCCAAGCTACAAGAAAAATACTCATCTTAAAGCAAAGTCTAGCATTACACAAAACAAGCCCATTTTAACCGAATCCCTGGTTCACCAACTTTCCAGTTTTTGCTACAAAAAATATATTTAACAGAAATACATGCACAGCACCGCTTTCACACTCTTCTATTCCAGATTCCAGCTTTAGAATTGTTTCAATATCCTAAAGGCTGAAGTAAGGATAAAGATTACGATACAGAAACCGTAGGTTCGGATTCCAATAACGAAACGGGTTCGGGCTCAATAGAACCCATATCAGACACAAGCCAATCTACCTACGCGAGGTTAATGGAAAAACTAGCTTGTGCAAAGTCTTTAATTTATCCAAAAGCGTTATGTTTAATAAATTAATTAAACGAGAAAAATAATTCACATATCAATATTAAAACATTGCTAGAAAGCCTGAAACGTCTCCAGACCTTTTAATTAAATCGCTACCGGAAAGTATTTTCAAAAATATCAGCTGTAACTAGACAGGCGGCTGACTGAACTGGTTATTAAATCGAGTAGTACAAGGTGCTTCGATCACTGTGGCCTAGATTGATTCGCGCGGTTATTAACAAGCAACCAACGTTGATACACCACGCTATGGTACTTAATTGGGATTCACTAGGACTTTGTTAATAGCATTTTAGTGCGCGCAAACAAGCCTAGTCAACAATATATTTACGCGTCTAATTTACGTTATTTAGCGAACAATTCTGGGAACTCGCTTGGTAAATAATTAATGAAGATCCAATTGAAAATTCACCCCTATTCCCGACATATTTGTCTGCGAAGTATCCGCGGTACGTGAGACGCGAAAGGAATCTATGATGGAATACCCCCACCGCAGGGAATGACTAATGAAATTCCCCACAAATGGTGCCATTCTCTTAATGCGTTCGCTTGGGCTATGAACACACTACTGTGAATGCGGAGGCCAGAAGAAAAAACAAATTGTATGTGGCATTCCTCGCTCTCCTCCCTTGTGACGTCGTAAAACTGTTGTGGTCTCTTTGAAGTAATATCTCTTCCCGCCTGACGTTTCGTTGTCATGACGCAAGCAGATTCGACCGTTATTTGCGCGATGTTTAAATTTTATTCTGACACGGAAAAATGTACAATCGCCAAAGTTCACGAGCAAAGAATTACGATAAAAGGCCTTGTGTTGACTCTTCAGTCGGCTTTTGAATAAAGAAAATCGATCTGCCGTTCTCAAATATATAATGTTGCCACGTTTTTCTACGGAGAGTTTATTTTATGTTGATTACTTTTTACATTTCAGATAAAGTCACGGAACAGGAATGTGGGTTACAAGACAAAAAATCTGTTTGAAGAATACTAAGGATCTTTGTGAATGCACTCGCTTCAAATGCTTGGGACATTTATAGTTTCGTTTGTGGAAATTTGTATAAACTGAATTACGGGATCTACAGTTCAGTGTACATAATGTTGATGTTATATTTTGTTGGAAGGAGCACAAAGAACAATTTTAATGCTGAGCGTACAAGACGCGGCTAATTAAGCGCGTACAAAAATAATTAATGAAATTGTGTTGGGCTGGTCCCATTGGGCTCGAGGCCTAACATTGTTCACGGTCTGGAGATCATTACAATAGTGATGTAATGATGTTACTGCGGTTAATTCAGATTGAGACACGCATGGATTCTGTGCTCCTGAATCCTGGATGCATTATTAATCGAGGGTTCATCGGACCTCATCCGAAACCATATCTCTGAATGGAAAGTTCTGGAAAGGAACGTCAGTTTAGAGGTAATTGAATATATTGTGTCAAAATGTATAGTTACATTAACTATAGTTAATCAACAACCAATGACACATAACAAACAACTGATAAATAACCAACCTTTACAGTTTGGTTACATTGGACATTAATACCAATATTTTACATCTTTCCTATGACAGAATCCTTCGTTTAATTTTTTAAATGAATTAACTTTCTTGATAAAATTCGAATTCTAACTTTGACTCATCATTGAAAGAACATTGTAGGTACCTATATACATTTACCCAACAATATCGTATGCTACATGGTGGTGAAGTTTTGAAACACAACCGTCATGATGCTCCTCCCTCAAGGGAAGCAGCTACATCATATTACATTTTGCCAATGGCGGTATTTGATCCCATGAGTTTCGAATATTTGTGCTTTCCTAAATATAGACAAGAAAATGTTTTCTTTTTACAGTTGTGATGTAATATTTATTTATTGAATAATGCTAAACTAAATGAGATCCTTGAGATCAGTATATAAGATCCAAATTCTTAAGTAAATAATTATCATCATATTAACAGCCTATATAAGTGGCTACTGCTGACTAAAAGTCTCTTCTCGCACGGAAAAGGTGAGATCATTAACCTCTTATCTGTATATGAGACAATAGAAAACACATTGCGTTTCGCGTAGATATACGTTCCAGCATACCACGGGTTAATCACAATTAGAATAATTAGAAATTATAAGCTCAGGTTTCCTCACGATATTCACCGTTTGTCAGTGATGTCTAAATAATCTTAGAAAGTGCACATAACTCGGAAAAAGTCACATTGGAACATACTAGCCGTTTTGGTAGGTTTCAAATCTGCTTCTTTATAGATAGAGTGATTTGAGAGGAACGTCTAATTGCGTCCATTTCTTTTTGTTTCTATTTTAATGAGGTATGGGCTAAGGTGAGTAGGTTATAAAAACATGTCCTGAAATTAAGGCAGGCAAATACTCATGTTTAATTAAGTACATTTTTTGATATTACTTATTTAATGTGTTCCAATCAAAGGAATTAAGTCGACGTGAGCGTCACACTTAAGGTGAGGACAGCAGTGTGGGTAGGGTTTGCTCAGGTCCTCATCAGTCAAATGGCACGTGGGATCATCAGTCGCAACTGTGCTGCATCTGAAAGAATAATTTGGTTGTTAGAGGTAATTTCGTTAGTGCTAAAAGTAACTATTGTTCGACATACTACCTAGAACAGTTAAATAATAAGATTAAATACATTTGAGTAAAATTAAAATAAATATATTAATTGTTTGCAGTCGTGGCGAAAAACAAGCAACTTGCCCCAACTTCACCCCGGTATTAATTCCCGATATTTCCGGTGACGAAATTTTCTTTTATTAAACCTTGTCCGTTCATTAAACAGTAATGAACTCGCCAAAAAATGATTAGAATATCATCGAAACACAAAAACATATGTTTAATTCACATAAATATTGTAAAACGATAAAACTTGAACAAAAAAAGGATACACAAACAAATCGGACTTACAATATTTATATGAACCCAGAAAAAGTATATTTTTAAAATAAGATTATAAAAATTATTGTGTATTAAACTGTCCTTCTTTCATTTATGATTTTTATAAATAAACTAACTGCTTCCGCGCGCTTTTACCTGTTTAGCTCGGCGCCTATTGATCGTAACATAATATTTTATAGCCTTTCTAGATAAACCTACTATCCAACACAAAAAATGTTTTACAATTCGGACCAGAGGCCTTAGTACGAGTTTTCAAAATGAGTGCGCATTCGGCGCTCTGATTGGTTGCTTCATTGGCACCGGCCAATTAGAGTGCCGAACGCGTACTCGTTTCGAATACTTTAAACGTAAAAAAACTCATACTAAGGCCTCAGTAGTACCTGAGATGGGCACGTTCGAACAACTAAACAAACTTTTTAGCTTTATATAATAGTATGAGATATATGTAAGATAATATAGGAGTATAATTGACTTACGATGCATAGGCCAACATCCTTCCACAATAGATCCTGTGACAACTACCAAGAGGAGCTACTGATTCACCGAATGGAATAACGTCCTTTATTTCCTTAATGTAACAGCCTTCTTTATCAGCTGTAAATTAAAAAAAAATAGTATTAGACTGTGTTTATTGATTAAACTGTCAAACACCAAGCGGTCACCGGTGACCGCAACCTATTGTTCTATAATTGTGTCTATAATGACGGTACTTGACGAGTTAAACATGATAATATTTTGTGTATAGGGTTAAAAACACGTTAACATAATATTTTTTCTAGATGACGCCAAAATTCTAAACCCTTGTTATTGCTTTAACGCAGTTGGGTAAAAAACCATTTACCTAATTCTATAGGCTTCCTAGGAGGCAGGGAGTAGACAAAAACCACTCACCTAATGCTGCGGGTTTTGGAGGAGGCCGACCTAATGTTGTCGCGGCGCTAGCGATCCCAACAATCAAAGTAATAATAAATATCTGCGATAACATTTTATAGTCCAACAGTAGCAACTATGATCAAAATACTTAAATCTAATTAAACTTTTAAGGGGTGTGAATTAAAATGGTTTCTAAATTATTAATAGTCGTCTTTTGCATCACTTTCGAATTGTTATTTGAGTGCAGTTTCTAGTTAGGTACCCGATGCCGAATGGTTACTCGGCAGCCGTGATCTTGAATTTATTTCAAAACAACTGATAACACACACATAAGATAGTATATACACCGGGCGTTTCTTTTTTTTGTCTATAAGCAACCTATTAAATTACTAGTGGTCTCTGCCGGCTTCGTGAACAAAAGTTTTTATAATAACTATCGTGAGACATACTAAAGAGTGAGCTGCGCGACGTCGCCGCGACCGCACACGCTGCTCATGAGGAAGAACCCCTCTGTAGTTCGAAACTAGTAGAGCCTTTCTCAGTATTTTCACGTGAGCAACCCACGATTTTAGTTAATTCGTGAACATATTATTCAGTGATAGTGTAGCATTTAACTCGTCGAGTACCGGTTTTGTAGACACAATTATAGAACAATAGGTTGCGGTCACCGGTGACCGGTTGGTGTTTGACAGTTTAAATGGTGATTTTTAGATCGGTCTAGAACTGTTAGAGCCAATTCGTTACAAATATACAAATATTTTTTCTTAGGAATAGTAGGTACTATATATAGGACTATATATATTTTCTTAGAATATTTAGATACCAGTCATATAAGATGGAGGAAACCTGGAATTTCTAATTTTAAGTAATTTTCTATTCTGAACACCTCTTGCTTGGCAGTCGAAAATCGTGATAAATAATCTCGCTTAAGGAAAATAAACATAATATTATTATCAATGCAATTTTTGTCGATTGGGAACCACAGCAAACAAACTGATAAAAAATCGTAATAAAAATATTCTTCATTGACGTTGACCTCAGATTAAAAAGGTTGTGCAAATAAGTTTACACAATATCTTTCATAATTACCTAATTATGTAGATAGATACATATGCCTCGTTGGCCGAGTGGCTGCAAGTCCGACTGCCGGGCAAAGGGTCTCGGATTCGATTCGGTCCGAGACGTCCGGGTCGGGCAAAGTATTACTGGGCTTTTAAAAATTCTCAGTGGTAGCACGGAGTCTGGAATTGTGCCCGGTATATGGCAATAGGCTCACCCCCTATTACATGGGATTTATAACATAAAATAGTGAAAAGTGGATGTTACATGGAACAGTGGCATTAAGTGCCATAATGTGCACCTCTGCCTATCCCTTCGGGGAAGTAAGCCGTGATGTTATGTTATGTTATACATACGCATATGATAGATAGATAAGCAATGTAATTACTAGTGCTTAGTTGTACTGAGTTGTTTGAAGCATTATTTGAATATGTGGCTCCACGCTATGATTTTCTCTTGTGTCATGGGTGCATTTATAAACAAACAAATTTACATATGTATCTAGCACATTCAAACTCGGAACAACAATATGTGGATCACACAAAGAGTTGTGTGTTCACCACAGATTGGGCTTACTAGGGCCAATGCTGGACTGAGACCGGACAACCGCAATGGTTAGCGGGGCTTCGGCTCAAAAATATAGTTGGGATGGAGTGATTTTAAGTCAGCAAGAGTCTGACATTCCCTATTGGTAGGATTCAGGACAACATTAATTTGATGTTTTCCCCCCTCAGAAATCGCCACTGCACCAATAGTGTACTTAAGTCAAAACTAAACTGTTTTGTTTATAATTTTATAAGCACAACATCCTATATTATAGGGTACTGGTCTGAATTTTCAGCTTACAGTTATTATCGCGGCCTGAGTTTAAAATTTTGACATTGTTTATGAATCATCGCATTTAATCGATATGTGTTTGTGTATCTATTTAGATTAAATTTATAATCAAAAAGTAAGAATAATACACCTAGTGCCTACGTGTTAATTGTCAATACATACATACGACATACTCAAAATAATATTATATACGTAATATACACTGCCTGAATTGTAAAAGTATTGTTAAAAGTAGGTAATCAGTTGTTTTGGTATAAATGTAAGATCACGGCCATCAGGTTGTCATTCCATCTCGGACAGCTGCAAACTACATTTAAATAGCAGGGCGATAAAGGTCCATTAGATTGAACAAAGTTGCTACAGTGCAGAATTAAAAAATGTTGTCGAAGATTTTATTTATTGCCCTAATTGCCGGGATGGCCAGCGCCGGGACAATGATGGGCCGGCTTCCTCCAAAACCTGCAGCGCTAGGTAAGTAGAGTCAAAATTTTGAATTTTGTCTCCATTTTAAGGGGTTGTGAGTGGCTAGGAGGAAGGGGAGAGATCGGATCTCTCTCATCATTTTACCCACCGGAAATACTTGGATTACCTCGGTGGACCAAATACATGACGTGGGTGTGTCAAGATGTGGAATACACTTTGAGGGTCACAGTTCCTTTTTGCAAAGTGACGGTTCTTAGTGCATTTATATTGTGATTAATTCACCTTGGTGGACCAAAGCAAATTTTTAAATAGATAGTTACGATACTGCCAATTCAAGTCCAAATCAATACGGAAGATCACATTCATTTATACTTGAAAGTAAAGGAATAACGCACAAATTGTTCATTAGCTGTCAATATCTTTCTTCCAAGAAGGCACCATGGCACCATTTTAAGTGCTCCGTAATTATAAAAATTATGTTGTAAAAAATTTTGTCATATTAATTTCTTTTTTTTCAGCTCACAAAGAAGGTTGTTACATTGAAGAAATAAATGATGTTATTCCTTTTGGACGCAGTGTCACTGTTGGGCACTGTACGCAAGTAATATGTGGAGAGAAGTGGATGTCCTATTTCACGTAAGTAATTCATTGTATACATAAAAACATTTCTATCTAAGAAATAAAATAAGGATTGCGAAACATATTCCAAAAATTTTAATAATGACTATGACTCGTAAGGTAGACGATGCACTTAGTACTGAGCAAGAATCTATGTTCTATCTTGTTGTCTACTTCAGTTCTCTCTCTTCTATTGTCCCACTGCTATGAAAACATCTTCTCACACGAAAATAATAAGCATTAATCGTCAAGCTTGCTCAAGGCAATGGTAACTCGTAATTTTTTGCAAGTCCAGATTTTATCACTATTCGCAGCGGTAATTCCCTCTTTGAGAAGTGGTTAGAAACCGGCCCCAGTTCGGAGCAGGAGTTGAGTATAGAATATCAAACAACATTAAAATCAATTCCCATTAATGTAAATTGACGTACTGGTAATAAAAACCTCTAAATATGAATTTTATGTACCTATGTATGTATGTATCGAACACAAATGAAACTTCTAACAACCATTTTTAGATGCAGTACAGGGTCAGTTGATATTCCCAATTGCTACATGGTTCAAGACTTATCGAAAAACTACCCAGAATGTTGCCCTAAGATCCAGTGTTCAGGTCGCCAAGCCTAGCCAAGAAAATAGTGTGAAGATCTAGCACCTTACCCACTTGATTGAAACATTTTTACAGAGAACATGATTGTCATAAAATATGATTTCCTACTATCTCTGGTTAACTTTAAATAAAGTTTATTTTTTCAACGTGCTTTTTTGCTTTTAATCAACCAGAATACCTATTTTTACTTCTTTTACTTACATGTTCTAGGTTGGGGTACAACACACAGTGTTCAACAGACAATGTTCTAAATTAGCGTCGAAATAAACTTAGAAAATGCATAGAAGTATAGAGGTATAACTAAGAAAGTAACAAATCTCCGAAATGCAATCTTTTAAGGAAAAGAAACGTTATAATTGTAAAAATATTTCACCTCAGATATTATTCATAAATAGGATCTAAAATATGGAAATATGCTAATTAGGTAAGCAACCTTAGTACTAGGCACCTACTTTGATAAATATATTTAATGCAAATTAACGCTAAACTTCCTTCTATCCGCGATTTCGTCTGCATAGGTGGATTGGTGATTTTAGGCATGTTTTTGTCCTGTAGGTTCGGCTTAAAAAATCATCTTTTGCACCTATAACCAATGATTTAGCAACTAATAATAATATGCGACATATCTTCTAGTCTAGTAGTTTCGTCTAGAATTTCCGTGCGCTGTTTCAGCTAAAATCCTATCCTATCCTTGTTATCCTATCCTTGTTCTTTTTTATTTTGTTTCCGTAAGTGACCGCTAGAGGTGCTATAAAATTAGTCATACAAAAGAATTTTTGTCGTCGCTATCGAGTATCGATTATTATTGCTTTCAGCCTTTGACTGCCAATAGAAAATTGTTGAACCCATGGTAGAGGTATGGTACACAGTTAAGAGACTGTACCCGTTGATAGGCAGTACTTACCCTTGCGAGGAATAGCAGTCGATAGTGATGGTACGTGTGTACAGTTTTACAGAAAGGAACTTTACAACTAACGTAGTAGCAACTTAGCGGTAGTTTAGCAAAACTTATTTATTGAGTTTAGACTATGTAAGCAGCAGACTATCTAAGTAGCAGCCTTAGTATCTATTTCCAGGTCAAACGAAGAATTATTCAGTGTACTGATTTTCAAAATCTCTGTAGTCTATAGTATCATCATTAATAACAGCCTATAAGTAACAATTCCTGACCAAAGGCCTCTTTTTGCATGGAGAAGGTTTGAACATTAATCAACACGCTTGCTCAATGCGGATTGCACTGTCTCTAGTTTGTGACAATTGATGAAAATCATCCCTTAAATTTGTTCATACAAAAGTAGTCTCTAAACATTGGAAATAAGGTCTATAATGTAGTTAGTGGACCGGTCACCGGTGACCGCTTGGGATATACGGGCTAGTATACATAATGTTTAATGACTTTTGTCTTAGCTTAAAATGGATAAAATATTTTTTATATGATATGTTTTGTTTGGAAAATACATCGAATTATCCGTAAGAGTGTAACTTGTCCGTTCCGTAAGAGTCTGCTTTTAATGTGCAGAAAATATTTTAAAACATGTGCTATATAAGTAGATAAAACATAAATAGTAATTGATAACAATAAAGTAAATGTCACCCGAAACCTTAAAGCAACAGCACCGCAATTGTAAACCAACGAAAACAATTTTACACCTCGGTCTAACTCGATTTCTATACAAATATGAAATCAACAAACCATGCAACAATAGTGCCCGCGCCTCAGCAAAATTGTTTTAAACTGATGAAATTCACAAACGCCAAGTATTTACCGAAGTTTTGAATACTTACCCTCCCCGATTCCCTTCCGAATTGAACTTTACGGTTCCTCTCACTCCGGAAAACGCGATACTTTACAGGATTATAACTCCATGAGGGCCGGTCATGTAAATAAAAAATATTAATACTTATCTTCCCTCTTTACGGTACATTTCCTTTTGAACGTTGAACCCCCGGTCGATTATTGTTTTAAATGTAGAACACTGATGTTCGTTCCTTCGTTCCCAATTTTTTTTTGTTGTCGGCATGTCAGGAATTGTTTGTGCATTTTAAATTGTTTTTTCTGTTACATAATGGCAATGTTTTGTTTTTGGTTTTGGTCTAAAAATTACGCTTTGATGTTCTTCTTCATAATTTTCCGGCATTTAACAAAGCTGCGAATACGTTTAACATTTTCATATTCACCATAATTGTCGTTTATTAAAACATTTTTTTTTAGAGACACAGTGAGGTAGATTAATAAGGTTTCATTGAAGCTGAAGAGGTCAGATTTCCGACGTTTAATGTTGTGACCTTCACAAACTACAAATATTGTGTACAGAAACTCGGAGCGTGTCATTGACAAAACTTGGCAACCACCTCGTTAACCTTAGAGGTCGGTCATCAAAACATAACTGTCCAGAGAGTCCCAAACTTGTTGGAAACAAAACTGCGAACAAGAACAACTAAGTTTTACGAGTTGAAAGATGCGTTTGTTTGCATATACTGTGTACCTTGTCCCTTATGTTTGTTCAAGTTTCACGTATACTGGTCTAACCTTCCTTGATTTTAGTACAAAATATAACGTTTTGTTTATTTTCGAAAAGGGAAGCAAAGATGTATTTCCAATGAACCCAAGACTTCGTAACCGTACATAACCATCAACAATAAATAAAACCTTACATAATCATCAACAATAATAGAATACATTCGACTAATATAATAAAACTAGCTTTTACCCGCGGCTTCGCTCGCGTCACAAAAAGATAAAAAGTAGCCTATGTGACATATACCAATACACACAGCGCCATCTATACCAATACTTTTGTTTTCCTCCGGGAATATCAAGTTTTCCGGGATAAAAAGTACCCTATTATTTAATCCAGACTTCTAACTTTATGTCTGCAAAAATTCAAAGCAATCGGTTTAGTAGTTACGGCGTGAAAGCGGAACAAACAAACAAACAAACAAACAAACAAACTCACTCTCCAATTTATAATATTAGTAAGGATATTTCTTTAAACCTTATAAAGATCCCGTAAATAACTTCTTTACCTTTATAATACCAGTACAAATAACTGCCTAACAATAAAAAAAAACCTTAAAACGATACCCGTTTAACGTGTGACAGGCCTTTCACCGCAACCCTTATGACACCATATCCGAAAGTCTTCATAAACCTGTCCTGTTTATTTTGAGAAGATCCGCCACAGATATATGGAACAGAATATATGGAAGAGCCACGCTTCGGTACAGTTCGACAGTTTCAAACTAGTTTTAGTGCCGGTTCTAGAGAAAAAGTTTTGAGTATGCACGTAAAATTGAAAGGTGGAAGTTTGAAGAATGGTTATATGGTGAACTGATTTAACTACTATCATAATATAAAGTTCAGTGTATTGGTTTTATATAGGTTCGTGTGATTTATGGTGAGATGTGAATCTCCGATTTAAAAATGCATACGAATATGGTATAAATTTCATTTGCGGCTAAAGTTAATTAAGCTTCTTCCAGCAGTTTTTAAATTGGGCATTTTATTTTTATTATTTATTAACTCACATATATAATGGTCGACATTTTTATATGAACATAACCCTGTCTAGACTGACAGTTTTATTTTTATAACCCTTTTATACATAGTTTACAAAATAAAAACCAAAACTAAATGAGTTGAATTGTTTTGAATGTCAAATACAAAGTATATTGTTCGTTCAAACGTCACTAAAAATGGTCTCGAAATAAAAACTTGATGAATATTCACATTGAATTTAACTTTAACCAACTTTTGCTGGGATTTTTATATAGCCTAGGTTTTACGATACAAATAAAACTGGAGGTACTGTATATTTATTGCTAAAATTCAAACTAGTTCTAGTTATTGATCTGGTTTACTTAACTAAACTTTGTTTATCGAGACTAGTTGTACGTGGCTTAGAATAAATGGTTTGGGGAAAATAAAATTGACTTTGTTTTATGCGAACGCTTGTAGTAAAATGTATTAAAATTTATTCCTGTGTGATTCAACGATACGATACTGTTGGCTGTTTTCGGTCTTTTGGGTAACAAGTTTAAGTATATTTTAAGCTTTGAGATTACATAATCTTGAAGAAAACATATACTGTCCACAGAGGATAATATGAGTAAATCTAACACCTATGTATGTATGGACCTATCCATGTCTAAAATCAATATACAGGGTCTAAACGAAACAGGTGATGATAAAAAACCAGTTTTATGTTCATAAAAAAAAGGATTTAAATATTTCTTTTATGTAATAATAGTAAACAAAAACGATTACAATTGAATAAAACAATTTATTTTTGTCAGCGTTCCATTTGCACCCTGTATTAATTATAATAAAAGCCACTTTCTTCCACCGCTTTCTTCCACCAAATACAAAACCGCTGCTTGTTCGGTCTCTTGTGCTTCCTGTGATTGATTATGCTGATGTTTGTTACTCTGACCTATCCCAAGACCTTCTTAACAAATTGGATCGAATGCTCAACAATTGTATCCGCTTTATCTTCGGACTACGTAAATACGACCATGTCTCTTCCTTTCGCGCTCAGCTTAAATGGCTTCCTATCCGTGAGAGGCGATCCCTTAGATCCCTCTGCATGCTCTTCTCTATTCTAAATGATCCTTGTGCTCCCGAATATCTAAAATCTGGCTTTCAGATTTTGGGCAGCTCTCACAGCCGAAATCTCCGTTCAGCTGAAAGTTTGCTTCTAGAGATCCCGTCTCACCACACTTCCTTCGTTTCTAACTCCTTCAGAGTTAGTGTAATTAAATTATGGAATGCACTACCCCATAGTATAAAAATGGCTCCAAACAAAATGGCTTTTAAACGTAGTGTTCGTGAGGCCTATTTAAAGGCGCTACAACGCTGAGTTCGTGTCTTCTTTAATTTATATCTTCGTCAATTTATATTATATTATAATTATATATATGAAGTTATTTATGTATGTACATATTTTATGTTTATTATATATCTTTATACAGTATGTTATACAGTATTTATTTATTATTACTATTAGTTATTTATTTTGTTTTTTTTTTTGGATATTACACAGGCCCATTTTCGCTGAGCTTACATTTAACCCAAAGGTTGACTGGGAGAAAATGCCATATGGCATTAAGTCCGCCTAAATAAAATTTAACTATTACTTTTTTAACGATTT